GTTAAAATAAATATTCTTGAGATCATCCATTGCGAAAGAGCTGTTTTCATTTTTCACTATCAAATAAATTCATTGGAGGGAAGGTTTGTTCAGGTGAACATGGGTTTTTGTGCATAGCGTGACAAATCAGAACAATATCGGCACTGTACACTTTGTCGCGAAATGTTCCGCACATTTTGCATTCCCATTCTTTTACTTATTGATGGCCAAGATTCTACAAAAGTTTTCTTTTATAATTCTTTCGCTAGGTATATTCTCACCCAAACTGCGACCAAAATCGCTTTCGTATTGAAAGTAAACTTTGTTGTTAGAGCTTCGAGAACGTGTTTCTCATCACAGCGTTATCACTTATTAGGCTATCATTTGCAGATGCTGAAACGATGTACACCGAAACTCGTTCGTCTCGTATTCGTGCCGCCATGTTCCCAGAAAGTGAAGCGGGCCCATCTAGTGGGATTCCTCATCGCGCTACCATTGTTGAACAGGTTTAGAAATTATTTACCAATAATTCATATGGTGTTTTTGAGATCATTTTATTTTTAAGATGTCAATACCAGCTCGCGTTTTGAAAACGGCAGTTCTCGATCTGCTTTCTTTCGAAGGTACATCTGACATCAGCACACTTCCTATCCCTGATCTTATTGATCTCATGTCTGACCGCGATGAGGTATAATTCGTCTCAGCTAATTCTAATTCATCGCTTATTCGTTTGGAATACTATCTTTAGGCTGTGTTGGCGCGTGCTGTGCAACGTGTTTACCTTCTTTCCAAAGAGGACCGTACCATCGCCTCGTATCCAACTTTGATTGATGCTTTGATCAAGGCCAGCAAGTGAGGGGTTTTCTTTTTGCAAGAATCTTTCGATAACTCTGTTGTGAATCACGTAGTAGTCATCTAATGGCATTGAGATTGAATATTCTCCCACTATTGAGTTGTAACTGAAGGCGATCCATTCGCTGAATGTTCACCCAGAAAGCTCACAGTCGCTTTTATGGTTTTCATAATTTTGAAGTAAAACTGTATTACCCCATGTTCAGGAGCGACAATGTCAATGTAAAGCGTGATGCAATTGGAGCTTTAAGCCATATCTCTGAACATCCTCAGGGAAGAATGCAAATATTCCGTTCTGGAGGTTTAGCTGAATTGATCAGGATGCTCTATTGTCCTGTAGAGGTAATTTCACAATTTGCTTTATTTCGACCTCGTTGGATATGCTATACTTGTTTTCTGTTCCCATATTTTCCTTTCCTAGACGATTGTGCAATACGCTGTTACTACGCTTCGTAATCTTCTGATGCATGTGGATACTGTCAAGGCACAGGCACGGGTGCTTGGAGCAATAGAAGCATTGGCGCCACTACTTCTCAGAAAT